TATATATATGTATTGACATTTTTGCCTTCATTTAATAGGACAGTTAATTGGTTGAAGGGGGGGAGAGTGAGGGTGTGATATTCAGCAAAAGGCCACAGGCTGGAACTGAACCTGAGGCCACTGCAGCAAGGACTTTGCCTTTGTATATGTGACACCCACTCTACCAGATGAGCCACTTGGGTGCCCAATTCTAGTAGTAAAACTGTATAGCCTTTCTTATTATTCCAAGCAAAGCATGGAATACTGCCACTTATTGACAGCCAACACCATCAAATTACAACTGGTGTAAAGTTAAGGTTTATTCACTAGATGAGCAACTGAATTCAAAGCATTCAGCTAGAAAATGTCACGACCTGATAAGAATCAGGACTCATCACCAACTGAGACAAAACTTAATCACTGATAAAGCTACAAGTTTGAGATGGCCCACATGTAACTTGCTAAAAAAAACGTATTGCCTTCATGGCACATGATGCTGGATTGATTTTCCTCAATACAAAACTATCATTGGATAAAACGATAATCAGAAAGATTCAAAGAACAATATCCAGCAAAAAAAGTTGTTATTCAATAAATGTGTAAGTGCTGTCTAAATTTAAATTTTCTTTGAGTGCAATGTAACATTAATGTCATCAGTGACCTTGTTTTATCATTATCTGTTCATTCTTAAAAAAGGAATCTAGGTCTAAATTATAACATTGTGCTTTATTGACTAAACTGACTTCAATTCTCATTTAAAATGAGAGTTAAGAAAGATTTGGAATTGTGTGCTTAGACATGATGATATTAAAACTCATGGCAATATGACAATACAACAATTATTTCAGATTAATGCTAACAGTTAGCCAATTTTGAGCCTGGCTGTCACATTTTATTTGCCTAATTTTTATATGTCCACTGTCCAAGTATGTGATGAAGTGCTCATCATACTGAAGTAGGTCAGCTTTAAATCATAGCCTGACTTTTTTTGGAAATAAAAGTTTTTTTGTAGACAAAGACAAGCTAACAGCAGCATGTATCTTTACCACAGTGCTTTACTCTATTGCTTATAAGCTGGATTGTGCATGCACAGCAGTTTCTCAAGTCGCTATTCGCAAACCTATTGATTGGACTACATGTTCACACAGGCACTCAAGCGTGTGGTGTGAACAAAGCCGCCGTATTTTGGAAGCTGTACTTTATTTATCACACTTGATTTCTCCTCTTCCTCTCGGCAATCGTGTTTTTGCTTACGGTTTTTGTAATTGCAAGCATGTCAAGATCAGCCAGTCAAACGCAGGCATGTGCACGGACACGCAGCCTGCAGATTCTGCAGGTACATACACGCAGACACGCACACACTACTAGACTTCATATTTTAATTTGGGTGTGGAACGTGTAGTCAAAGTGCCCTGTGGGCTGACCATATCAGGTCGTGACATTTGCATTTGACAGGAATCACATCAGACAGGGTTAATACTGGAGAAGATGGAGGGATAGAAAAAGGGAGAAAAAAAATGTGGAAAAGGTTTCCCCCATTCCTCCTACATCCCCTTTCCTCTCTCTTTCCCCTCCCTCAATCCCATAGCTGAGGTGCTTAAATTAAAAAGGAAGAAATGCAATTTAAAGACATGGGGTAAACAATCACAAAACACTTGTTTCTGGAGGAGACACAATTTCCTGGTGCCTTGTCCAATTTCTTATGGCCCGGAGGGCTGCCGCATGCGTTTTAACACCTGGTTCTACACCGCTGATTAAAATTGTAATGCCAGTGTTGAATCAATCCATATGACATTTTGGAAATACACAAGTATCAGGACATTTTATATATACAGCATTTTTTTTTCTATTGTTTTCATTTGGAAAGAGAAAGGTGCAAGGTGGTGGCTCGCACTGGGTGTCACTGCTATGCCTTCCAACTGTTTGACGGGGGGAAAAAGAAGTTTCAATATCCTAAACAAGTATAAATACATCACTATCATTAGTATGCATAGTATTTACTAGAAAGCCACATGCACATGTGCTGCAAAACCAAAAATGGGACGACTATCACTGTATTTTTGTGGCTTTGTTACTGCCGTGATCATCATTAAATGAAGCCTAAGATTTATTGCTGTAGGAAAAGTAAGGGGAGAATTTGGTGTACTTCCACTTCCCAAGGGGCATGTGAGTGATGCAGTAGTTTGGCTTACCATCACTGCCAATGTGCTTTTAAACCCAGATCCAAAATTGAAACTTGCACGTGGCCAAATCAGCCCATGAAATTGGCCATGAAGGAAATTTGATGACCGGATGTGTCTTGCTGAGACAAAAGAAAGTAGAGCATAAGAGACAGATGTACAGCAGCAGATCAGCGCAGACAGCCAGGCTGAGAGTTGAAAGATAATTAAAGGGCAAAAATACAAATAGGAATGCAGCATGAATGAGTGAAAGGAAAAGGGAGGTGAGAGAATGAAAGCAAGAGAGAGAATGTCCAGATTTTTGTACCACTATTATACCAGTACACCCCCCCAGGCCAAACATCTGAGGCCGTGTGACAGACGGACTGTTGTTTGCTTCACACCACAGTAATGTTTTACCAGCCCCTGCGCCCATGTCAATCAATGGCCGGCATGTTCCAAAACATATTCAACACACAAAGAGAACACTTTGGCTTGAGGAAATGGATTGTGCGCAAGATTGGCAGGGGACTCTCTGGATGTGTCAATCACCAAAGGCCCTTTGTTTTACCCCTGTCCCAAGCTTCAAGAAC